TGTCTTCTCATAGAAATATGAGAAGTTCCCTAGAAATATTTTTATTTTAGATTTACAAGTATTTTGAGACTCAAGAGTGAAACTATGAAAAATCCTGTAAAATATAGATGTTAATTAAGTATCTTTTCAGCAAATCACAGGGGGTTTTTTTTTCTGGGTCCTTTGTAAATATGTCAGTTTATACCCAACTCCTCACCCCCAAAAGTGAACATTTTTATGTGTTAGTAGAGCAGTAAGGATGGATGACTAGAATTCAGTGGGGCTCGGTAAAGGGCCTGGGACCAAGCGCTGGGAAACAGTCCTGCTCTGTCACTCCTGTCTGCTCCTATGCCCCCACCCCCAGGACTTGAGAGCCTTTTGGAGGTCCAACTGTTTGCCTTCTTTGGCAGCTCTTCTTCAGCCTTTTCTTGAACAACCACAGAGATAGGAAGCTATCCTAGACATTTCATTCTACTCATGTTTACTTTCCACCTAGGGTCTATTTTCTCTTACATGGCAGCATTAAAAGAATCTGAAGTCAGCAATCACATCTTCTAAGTCTTATTTACAACCCTCATTTCTTTTCTAAGATCTACTTGAGTCTCCATAGGAGCCTCTTAAATGGCCCAGAATTACAGCCCAGGTTGAGCTTTTTCTCCATCCTTGCTGTAGACCCGGAGACAGCCTAAAAGTCACATTAGTAAGTGTCTGGACAAAAGTCACTCAATAATGTCACCCTTGTCCAGAACATAAGTCATGCCTGCATGTAGATTTCAGTGCATGCCATTTTTAATTTTCTCAATGATAGCACTTTTTCGTTCACTGGTCTAAATTTTTAAGTTGATTCTCTTTAGGGAAATACCTGACATTTCATGCTTGGGCACATGACAGCTTATTTGACTACTTAGAAATCCCTTTTTTTTGGTTCTTGGCTCAGTTTTGATAACTGTAATCATTAGATAAATGACTAACAATGGAAGTTAGAGGTATTACTGTAATATTCTCACAGATATTAATTTTCTAACTTTATTGGCTCTTGGGGATCAATCAAGATAACATTTTAGTGCCTGCTATAAATACACTTCAGTGTTCTGTTAGGCTATCCCTCAAGAACTAAAGAGAAAAAAAAGATAAGCATTTGAGCAGTGTGTTCGTTTTATCTAGTCACTAGTATTAGAACTACCATATCTTGCTGTGTATAAAGCGCACTTTTTGAAATTTTTGAGGGAAAAATAAGGATGCACATTATTTATGGGCATTAATTCTGTATCTATAGAGGTATTTTTAATTATGCTTATGTGTTAAAAGTGTAGCTCTAGAGAGCAATAATGATATCCATATGCAAAATAATGCCCTGGAATATGATAATTGGTTTTGTTTCTAAATATAAACATATATAATTGAATTAAAAAATTTAAAAGAAAGATTTTTTTTCCCCTGAAAGTTTGGACCAAAATCATGGGTGCACGTTATACACAAGAGCGTATTGCACATGGCAATTAAAGTGCCTTGGGATTTGAAAGGGAAAAAGGATAACTGTGGATTGTGGTGGACAAGCTTACTAGCTTTGTGAGAGATTTAGGAAGCTTGAACTGTTTATCAAAGGGAATAGAAAATGGATAGGTGGAAGAGAGGAGAAAACGGTTTTTTAGTCAAAAAGGTAAACAGATATAAAAACAGAAATAATCAGATTATAGGCAGGATACCTGATCAAAAAAATAGCTCTATGAATAAGACTTACTAAGAAAATAAAATTCTGAAGAAACAAATAGAGAACTAATTCCTAAGAACTTCAGGGTATTTAGAGGTTTTTTAGGCAGTAGCTTAATGTGTGTAAAGTTAGATGTTATGGAGGTAACAGGAGAAGAAAAAGAGTTAAGTTGCCAGCCTGGGTACTACAAAAGTTGTTATCAACAGAATGACTCAGGCACATGAGGAAGCCAATTTGGGGAAATCTTTATCTGGCAATTAGAAGTAAATATTAAAGATAGGGGGCAAAGAGTCAAGTTTATTTGGTTTAGCAAACCTCACATGAAAAATGAAGGTCTATAGGGCTTTTCTTTTTTTGAATGTTCTGTGACTCTGATTTTAATCTCAAGCATCACTAAAAATGGAGCTTGCCCATTATCTCTTGAGACCAAGTTGCTCTATTTTACTTGGTTGATGTTTGGGTATATTTGCTGATGTTTTTTAGAAATCAACAGCTACATTGTCCACTCTGGCTATCAGGTTTTTCTGGTGCTGTTTGCTTAGCCAGTCATCTTCATTTCATTAAATGCATTTTTCTTTACACTTTTAGCTTTTATTAGGTATCCCTTACTACAAAGAATTCTATATCCTTTTCCATTTAGCCTTCTAAAATTTCTTTAGCCTGAGACTATAGTGCACAGGATCAAAAATAATGTCTCTATTTCCTAAGATGACATTGCTTTTTTATTTAAAACTATATAGGTCCATCGGAGTTTGGACAAGTTATAAAGTGCTTTTTCAAAACTAGATTACTTTGTTTTAATGTGATCAAGATAATTAACCATTGGGCTAGCTTTATTGCTGTTGTTTGTTTATCATTGGATAAATCATAATAAAACACTTTTTTAAGCAAGATTATTTCAAGGTTGCAATGCCATTCACACAAACATGAGGCCAGAGTATGGGATGTTTTCCTGAAAATCAGGTTTCAAGAATTTAGTAACTATTCTGAGCACTGATCTTTGCTTATTATGTAATTAGAGATTTTAAAATGTATAGCTACATTCATAGTCCTCACTTGGAATATGTTTTGTGTGTGTGTGTTTTTTTGGTTGGGGTTCTGTTTGATTAATGGTAGCAAAATCCAGATTCAGTGGATTCAGCATAAAGTGATGCATTATATATATTATTTCCACGTTGCAACATGTTTGTTCTTGGTAAAATAATTTGGGAAGAATGTGAATGGTATATGCTCGTAGATGGGTGCTTTTCTCCTTTTCCTAAATTTTCCGTTTTATTATTTCTTATTTAGGCTGTAAACACTGAAGTGTTAGACCTTTAGTGGTGCACATAATGTCCCAGCAAGATTGTTTTAAAGGACTTTTACCTTGTTTGATGTTTAGGCGTCGCAGATACAAGAGCTCTAAACCTGACTTTTACTAATAAAATATTTTTATTATTTAAATATTTTAAAATATTTAGTAAAATAAAATATTTTACTAAATAAATATGGTTACTAATAATAAAAATATAGCTTTGCCTTTATGCCGTGGCTATTTCCCTTTAAAACTTGTGTATCTTCAATTAATAAACTAATAAAATATTTATTTTTGTGTGTTATTTACCACAGACTTTTTTCTTTGTATATGTAATTCACAGTGAAATAAATCTCTTAAAAATGGAATCCTTAGTTTTCCCGTGCTAAGCAGTTAAGGGAGAAATTCCCATAATGCTTGCATTTTGAACTTGAATTTGAAAATACTTTATTTGAAAGATACATCTCAATAAATTATATTAACTAATTTTAATTAATTTCATGCTTCCAACTAGTAACATCTAGTGTTCTAGCCTCAGTCTATGTGAAATGAGTTGGCTATTTTTCCAACCCTTTTTATATGTGGCTTTCTTAGTATCTAATTTAGCATGACATTATTCTAAGTGCCAGAATTGCTCACCAGTTAACTAAGGGATGATCTAATCTTTAGTTTTGACATAGAAGTTATTTTTACTAAATCTTAGCATGCTAGGATTTACTGATGTCCACTTACTTAGGTGGAATGCAGTACTTACCATTTTGTGCATATGACTAAGATATCAGGATTTATTCTTTCACTCAACATGCTTTCTCTGCCTATTTTTTGCCAGACCCAGTGCTAGGCACTGAGGATGGGAGCATGGGAAAGCGGGAGTGCAATGGGAGGGCCAAGAAGAACAAGGAATTATAGTGTTGGGTGTTAGAACAGGACAGAACCCGAGCTGTCTGTGTGCGTTCCGAGAGTAAGAAAGGCTTAATATTTGGATTGGGAGATCAGAATTCAGAACATGCAAACATAAATATGTTTCAAAAAGTTAGTAGATTTTGAATCCAAAAATTATGAAACTGGCTTTATGTTTACTTAATTTACACGGTTTTCTCAAAGGTAGAAAAGAAGTGATTAAAAATTAAAAAAGGTATTTTGACAAGAACTGTTTCGAACTATCTCAGTTTCAAACTTAAAGGCAATAGGCATATCCCTCACAAGCCTTTCTTTAAAAAAACAGAACATTAGTGCCATCAGTAAAAGAGAAATTAACTAATTTTGCATAATCTCTGAAGTCTGTTTTCACAAGTGGATATAAAGATGACTTTTACATCCTGTTGCCTTTTGACAGCATTATATATCAAATACAGAGAAAATTGATTAAGTGTGGAGAAAAATTATACAGATTAAATTCAGAACCATTTTCTGTTTTTCATAATAAAATGATTGCTCAAAGAATTCCATCTGATGACTGTTGAAAGCTCACTGCAGTTTATGATATAACTGATAAAATCTGCATCCTTGGCCTTCCAACAACCTTTACACCAGCAGATGGTGGGCGTAAAGATGTCATTCATCATTTATTTACAATGGACTTTATTTATTCTAGTGTCAACAGCTGCCCCAGGGAGTGGGTTATTGAATTCAAATGTGAGGCTCTGGGTTATTTGCTTCCTTTCAAATTTGTCTTCAGAGCTTAGTTGCTAGGAGTCCATTCTGTGCTCTAATAATGATTCATGTATTGTGAAGCCATTCAGTAAATTGGGTTGTCAGGGATTGCCAAAAAAGGTTTAGAGGTCTTGGGGGTTGTTGGAGGGAGGTGGGGGGAGGGATTGTATGTGCATCTGGTTGTCTGGTTGACTTGAGGAATAGTGGTTATTATGTGACTTTTTCCTAAGATTGGTGAAGTTAGGTTTACTTCTTTTCCTTTATGCACTAATTCCCTACCTGCTCATATTCTACATATGAATAATAAGGAAAAGAAGAGGATAGTTTATTAAAGGAAACTCTCAACCTTTTCTTTCCTCACAGGCAGGGCAAGAGTCCTTTCGTTCCATCACAAGGTCATACTACAGAGGTGCAGCAGGGGCTTTACTAGTATATGACATTACAAGGTGAGAACTTAGAAATTTTTCAATTCAGTGGTCAATGCAGAGAATTTTTCTAAATAAATATGGTTACTAATAATAAAAATACAGCTTTGCCTTTATGCCATGGCTATTTCCCTTTAAAACTTGTGTATCTTGAATTAAAATTATTTTCTCTCATGAATAAGTACCCCCAAGTTGATCAGTTTGGTATTATTATTTATACATTGGGATTTAATAAAGTGTTATTATGGTTAATTTCTAAGTTGAATTGCAATCAGTGGGTTCTAAATCCAGATACTGTACTTGACATCTGTTTTCATTACATAAGTGGATATGGCTGAAAATAGTTACCTTTAATAGACTATATGCCGTTTATTGTACACTGCTATGGGAAATCCTTTTGACAATAGTAATGAGATTATCGTTTATGTTTAGGAGAGATACATTCAACCACTTGACAACCTGGTTAGAAGATGCCCGCCAGCATTCTAATTCCAACATGGTCATTATGCTTATTGGAAATAAAAGGTAAAAAGAATAATTTAAAACTTTTTTGCATTAATTATGAAGACTGGATAGCTGTTTATATGATAACTATTAAAGTGTTTATCTTATACATTTGTCCAAGTATAAGTTAATTAGTTTCTTAAATTATAAAATTTTGAAAATCCTAAGATGTTTCATTTGGTTTTTAAAATAGATAATAAACTTTGTTGGAAATTACTATTCTTATTTTAAATAGTTTTTGTTGGAATGTATACTTTCATTCCTGAAAGTTTTATCTGATTAGTAATTTAAAATAAAGCCCACTGATTTATTCTAAGGCTTTATATTAGTGTCATATTAATGTTGTTTTCTAATCTTACTTTATATTTCTACAGAGCATTATCTGCAGTGAATGTCCTCTTGCTCTATGCTTAAAAAGATAGTACATGAGAAAACGTGTTCTTCCCCATAGTTTCAATAAATTTGCAAGAGTGTGGGAAAGTTACCACTAATTTTAGTAGAAAATGACAGTGGTAATAAATGAAATTAGTATTTCTAAAATGCTAGACACCATTCGTTATTTAGGTTTATAAAATAGTGCTAAAAGGTAATGTTTTTAGAAAGGTAAAATCATGACTCTCATATGATAATGGACATGTGTCAGAGCTTTTCTTTATCTCATTAATTAACAAGGGAACCAGTAAGATATTACAGCTGCTTTAAAGGAGAACTCAGAATACAACATTTAAAGTCAAATAAGGAATGCTGAAATGAATTTACAAATGGATATCAAAACTGAACAATATCCATAGATAATTGTATTTTGTGGGATGCAGCCTATATTTCTATGGGCCACAGTTATTTGCATTATTACCTGTTTTCTGGAAGTTAATTTTTATCTCTACAATCTTTGAAAATTTGTGGGATGCTGTTAAAGCAGTGCTTAGAGGGAGATTATAGCACTGAACACTTTCATTAAGAAAAAGTTTCAAATCACAACCTAAACTTTCACTTTAAGATTAAAACTAGAAAGATAAGAGCACATTAAACCCAAGGTTAGCAAAAAAAGAGGTAATAAGAAAACCAGTGAAACCAAAAGTTAGATCTTGAGAAGATAAATAAAATAGGTACAGATCATGAAAAAATAAGATACATGACTAATGTCAGGAATAAAGGAGTGATATCATTATAGATCCTTCATATATTATAGGGATAATAAGAGAATATTGTAAATAAAGTAAATGGATTGGGGAGACATTGCTCAAAGGATACAAACTTGCAATTAGGAAGGTAAATGGGTTCTGGAAACCTAATGCACAGCATTGTGATTGTGGTTACCAGTACTGTATTACATACTTCAAACTTGCCAAGAGACTAGATCTTAAATGTTCTTAGCACAGAATGAAATAACTGTGTGACATGATGGAAGTGTTAGCTAATGCTGTGTTGGTAATTGTACTGTGTTATATCAATGTATCAAATCAACAGGTGGTACACCTTAATTGTACACAGTATTATGGGTCAGTCATATCTCAATAAGAGTAAGTGATCACTAAACAACTTTTTAAAACTTATTTTCACAACTATTTGATTCCTCAAATCTAAGCTATAGATACCTTGGTCTTCCTAAGATGACTACTTTCTCATCTTTAGAGTCCTTAAGTCCAAAAAAACCACAAAAAAAACCCCTAAATAAATGGAGAGGAGATTGTGTTCATGGATAGAAAAACTAAATATTTTTATGATGTCAGTTCTCCCAAACTGATCTAAAGATTCATTGTAATCCCAATGAAAATTCATCAGACTTTTTTTAGGGGGTAGAAGTCAACAAGCTGATTTTAAAATTTATATAAAAATACAAAATTGGAAGATTCGTTGGTTTCACTAACACTGATTTCAAGATACACTATAATCAGTTTAGTCTGGTAATGGTATACGTAGACATAAATCAGTGGGATGGAGTGAGAAGTCCAGGAATAGATCCATCTATATATATATGGTCAATTTATTTTTTGACAAAGGTGCCAAGGCAGTTCAGTAGAGTAAAGGGTAATCTTTTCATCAAATGGTGTTAGAACAATTGAATAGCCCCTGTGCAAAAAAAATGAACCTTGACCCTTACCTCACACCATAAATGAAAATTAACTGGAAGTGCATCATAGACCTATGTGTAAGAGCTAAAAGTATTTTTAAAATTCTAGAAGAAAACAAAATTTTAGTGTCTCCAGTATTGTCAAGCATTTCTTAAATAGCCCAGAAAAAAACATAAGGGTGGGGAGGGTGATCAATTAACTATACTTCAACAAAATTTAAAAGTCCTGCTCTTCAAACAATTCCAAAATGAAAAGACAAGCTACAGACTAGGAGAAAATATGTGCAGAATATATATCTAAGAAAAGATTGGAATCTAGAGTAAATGTAAAATTCTTGCAATTCATTAATTAAAAATATCCCAGTTTTTAAAAATGAGCAAAAGATCTCAGCCAGCACTTCACTAAAAAATATTTACAGATGGCAAGTAAGCACATGAAAAACATTTAACACTATTAATCATAAATGAAACACAGATTAAAACCTTAGTGATATATCATTGCACACTTTCTGAAATGGCTGAACTGAAAAAAATTAACAAGAATGTAGAGGAACTGACACTCATACAGATGGTAGAAATATAAAATGATAAAACTTTGTAAAACAATTGGGTGATTCCTTTAGAAGGTAAACATGCATCTGCTATACCACCTAGCCATTTCACTCCAAGGTATTTACCCAAGGTAAAAGTGGTTCTTTTGTCCACATAAAAAATTATACACAAGTTTTCATAGCAGACCTATTTGTAATGATCCCAAACTGGAAACAACCCACATTTTAATTTACTAGTAAATGAATTAAATTGTGATACAGCCATACAATGAATACCGCTCAGGAATAAAGAGGAGTGAGCTATTGGTATGTACAACAAAGTGGATGAATCTCAAAATGATTATGCTGAGTGAAAAACAGAAAAGACAGTATGTGTTCCCATTTATATAAGATACTAAAAAAATGCAGACTAAAAGTAGTCCATAGAGGCCAATAGCAGATCATTAATTGCTTGGGGTACAGAGGGAGGAAATGATGTGTTACAGTGAAGTATGAGGAAACATTAGAGAGGCTGGTGGTTTCCCAAGTATACGTCTATCAAATTCAACAAACTTTATATCATATGTATAGTTTCTTTTATGTCACTTAAACTGTTTTTAAAAAGTAAGATAGTAAATAACAGTACTGTATAGATTTGATTTTAGAAAATATTGTTTTAATAGTAATCTAATCTAGGTTTGCTGTTAAGAGAAAATACTTAAGCAATACTTGGATATAACAAGCTAACTTTTGATTACTTTGTATGTATGTATTATCTTGGCTTTCACTCATGGGCTTTCTTGCTTATCCTTTTCCTCATTTAAATTACCTCACTAAACCATTTAAGATTAAGGCTATTGGAAGGAAGTTTTAATCTTTATAATATGGAAGTATTCATACTATCATTCAATGGTGATGTGTGAAATAATAGAATATTTGGAGAAGGAAGAGAATTTTCATATCTTTATCTCCAGTGCTTTCCTTGTGTCTGAAACACAGTGGGTGGCAACTTACTGGTGGCTTAAGTTTGGTTGTTGCCTATGTAGAGCTTATAGTCCAAATGTGACAAGGAAAGCAAAGTATAGTATATGCAAGATGTGTTTTTAATGACTGTGGATGGGTAGCCCTTATAATTAAGGGTATAGTAGCTATGGAAAATCATTTTGAGGAAGAAGCTAGAAAAAAGGAAAAAAGAATATATGACATGCAAAGAGTGAATAGGAATGAACAGAGATAAATGAGGTGATTATTATTAGATGAGGCGAATTGGGGTAGACATGGAAACCGGGAATAAGCAATTTTTGAATTAGATGCATTAAGCACTAGGGAGCCAGTGAAGAGATTTGAGAAGGGTGCTGACCTAGTCAGAGTGACAGATAACACAGATTTTTTTTACTATGGCATTTTAAATTGGTTATATAAGAAATAGGAAGCAAAATCTACAATGATGAAAGTTTTTAATATTTTAAAGGATTATCATACAAACCTTAAACAAAAAGTAGAGCATAGTAAGAGAATTATTTAAGAAAGATTGAAGTAATGAAAGCAATTTAAATAGGGTTAATGGAGATGAAAAGTCAAAGACAACAATATGATTTTATGCCTGGAAAACTGAGGAAATGACCAAAGGAGAATGATAACAGAAACATCATTAATAGTAAAGTGTCACATCCTTTTCCTTGAACAATCTCTCAGATGTCCAAGTTCTTAACCCTCTTTGCCAAGATAATATTTCAAGTTGCAAACATAATCAGGTTCTGGTAGTGGAAAACTGGGAATAATGTTAAATATCCCCCAAATAAGAGATTATTTAAATAAAATATGCCATATGTGTAAAATGGGAGTTAGGGGAAAGGTATTTTCTTAAGGACTTCATGTAATTCAAAGCTAATTTTCCCTTAAGAATGATTGTCGGATAAAGGGTCTGAATTCCAGGAACATGTCTCCCCATCCCCCTACACACACACTTTTTATTTTTTATCTATATTTTTATCCTCACCCAAGGGTATTCTTTTATTGCCTTTGGAGAGAGGAAGGAAGAGAGAGAAATATTGATAGGGTGCCCAGACTGGGGATGGAACCCACAACCCAGGCACGTGCCCTGACCAGGAATCAAACCTGCAACCTTTGGGTTATGGGACCACACTCCAACCAACTGAGCCACACTGGCCAGGGTCATTCACCCCTCCACCCTGCCTTCTTAATTCCAACTAGAATGTAAGCACCATGAGTCTGGATGGGAGGAGGGGGTGGATTTTTGTCTATTTTGTTGAGTGGTCTGTCCCCAGATCCAAGAAGGAATTTTACTCACAGGAGGCCTTCAGATTATAGTTGGATAAATTATCCTTGCCTACTTATGCTTTAATATTTGCAAACTTAGTTTGTCTGCTTTTTATGTCCTGATCTTACCACTGATGTTTTATAGTACAGCTACCTAAATCAACAGCATGGCATATACTTACTGTTCCCTTTATAGTATCTTATATCAAACTTTCTTTCCAACATTTCATATTTTTAAGAGTCTGTTTTCAGCACTTGTTCCATTGAATGAATGCTTAGATGACATTTAATAAATCATAAAATATTTCTAAAGAATAACTGCTGTGAAGGTTACAAAACAGTCACCAGAATCACAGAAGCTTCAATCACAGAAACAACAGTGACTGATAATTACTAATATGGCAACTTGGTAAAAATAATTGATAGCTTATCCAATCAGCAAGCTTTGAAGTTAAGAAATTCCTGCTGAATTTTATAAAGTTGAAACATTGATATTACTTAACATTAGGTGGATGAGACTTTAACATCTTTGTTTTGTTTGTGTTAGTCCTAATTTGTATATTTAGATTTGCATAAAATACTACCAATCTTTACTGTGCACTCAGTAAAAATAATATTGTAAAAGACTGCAGAAATGACATGGGAAAATGGTCTACGATTTAGTAAATGAAAAAAAGCACATTACAATGGATTCAGGTAGGGAAAAACAAAATGAGTGATACAGAATTATATTCACCAAAATGTTAATTACTTATGGAAAGTGAAATATGGGTAGATTATTCCTTTGCATTTTTCCTAATTTGACAAAAGTTCTTCAATATAGTTAATTGTCAGAAAAGGTAATCATTTAAAATGTTTTAATGATACAGTATAGCACAGTGGTCTCGATGGAATCACTCTACCAGCTCATCCTAGAATGTGAGTTAGGTGCTTTACTTAACCCTTTTGTGCCTCAGTCTCCAGATCTGTCAAGTGAATTAAATGAAATTGCAAATAACTTGATGAAGAATGAAAAATTACTGAATTTGTTCAATAGAATATAATACAGCAGAAAAAAAATGAAGAAACTAGACCTTACATACCTTATGTAGGTAAATCTGAAAAACATAATACTGACTAAAATTAGCAAGTTATAGGACAGCTATATCTGATTTTTTTTGACATGCAAAAAAACTCTTTATGGTAATAAACATGAATATAAATAAATATAATAGCATCATGAGAATGAATGAGATTAGGAAGAGACATGCATACAGGCGGCATTTCAGCTGTGTAACTTGTTTCTCAGCAGAAAAATTGATAAAGTTGTAAAAAATAGTATGTGTCAAGGCAAGATGAAAAACATGGCTGTTATTCTCCATCCTATGTGCATACAATACTTTATAATAATAAAGTTTTTAAATTTTTACAATAAAACACACTTAAAGGAGTCTGTTGCTCTCCCCCACTACCTTACTAATACAATTCCAATATAAAAATGAATATATCATGCTTTTGTTCCAGATTTCTTAGATTTTTGTTTCTTTTTTTTATTAACAGTTTTTGGGTTTTTTTAAACTGGGAATTAAACCAACTGGGATTAATAATCTGATTATTTTTTTTAAATACTTGAGATTTTATTAAGTAATCGCCTTTAGCTTTTGAGAATTGTATGACTTATTTTTTAATTACGTTCATAGAAAGTCGGTCTGGCTGAAGGATGAAGGAACTAGTGTAGTTCTGCTCTCTCAAATTATTACTTTGAATAAAAATGGTTCCTTCTTTGGGAATCCACAATACTCAAAGGCAGGGTATTGGGCTAGTTGTTCCATTTAGGTTTCTCCTAGTGTTGGCATTGTAGGACTATAATTCAAAATCTTCTTTTAGACTGTTAGTTCTTTGAAACTAAGCAGTGTATTCTAAACACTTTGACCCTCATAATACCCAGCGTAGTGCAATTGACTATTATGTGTTAAAAATTAATTGAAAGAATGGTCAGTACCACTGTGAATCTCTTGGTATATTATGTATATTATCTGCAGATACCTCTGTTTGTCCTGTGTTGGTTAATAACATGGGTCTTGTGTTCTATGCTTAGTGATTTAGAATCTAGAAGAGAAGTAAAAAAGGAAGAAGGTGAAGCTTTTGCACGAGAACATGGACTTATCTTCATGGAAACTTCTGCTAAGACTGCTTCAAATGTAGAAGAGGTAAATAAGAGACCCTTTCAAATGTCTATCATCTTTTTACTTAGTTGAATTGTTTTATATGCTTTAATATTCATTTAGTGGTATATCTTCCGTAAGCTTTTTAATTACTGATGGTCTTTGAATATCATAAAGTAGGAAAATTTCTTTCCTTTGAAATGCCTTGTTAACGTTCATCTTATTTCAGACTCTTGCATTATATTCAGAACCTTCTCTTGAACCCAAAATGCTCTAACACATCTTTATATACATTTTCCCTAAAATCTTTTTTATGTTGCATGAGAGGGAGAAAAAGGACACTAATGAAGTTTGGAAATCTTTCAAGACACTGAACATTTGTAGCTTATTTATAGCCACTTCTGATTAAATAGGTACAGTATTATATTATTGTCATGTAATATTACACAAAACATTTGAATTCTGCCATCTTTAATAGATAAAATTTGCAGTCTCAATTATTTCCATTAATCAACTTGAACTGTTGGAAATTCTGTGTAAACATTGTCTTCTTTGTACTGTACATGTTTGAAAATGGTATTAATATATTGTGCATAGATGAGTAGACAGCTAATCCACTACACTCTATTTTTTTTTAAAGACAAACAAACAGAAATGAGGCTGAAAAATAAGTGGCTTTCCCAGAATAATGCTGTAGTTCCACCTTCTGGGTAAAGAATCTTAAGAGCAACTGCAGACAGGGATTCTAGAAAACAAATGATGGAAGAATCTCATTATTCTAAGGATAGCAGGGGATGAGGTCATAGGCAACACGTAGCACAATGCCTTTGACATAGTAAACAGTGAGTAATTATTTGTTAAGAATGATACTTGGAGCCTTTCTAATCAACCCTCAAACCCAGAAATTGACTATTGTAGTTGAACAGCCTTGGTATTCACTGAAGAATTCTTTCTTAGGTAAGACATTTACTTATCTATACTCAATGAGATGCTCTGGGATTATCCTTACTGTGTTTCCTATAGGCACCAACTAATGCTTTACTGTTATTGCCAATAATTTCAATGTGATAACATATAAGAGTAATGTTTCACTTCACACAGAAAACCCAGAGGGAAAACTTTTCCGTCTCTTTGCTCAACTTGCAATAGACATGTAAACCTGCCTGCTTCAGAGAGGGACTCCTTTATTACAAATGTTGTATTTGAAACCATAAGGGCCAACATGTTGCTGGGTTTCAAGACATCTGAAACATACTCTTATTGGTTAACAGTGGATTTTTCTTGTTGATTTTGTAAACCATACAGACAAAATTGTCTGCATTTTAATAAAGTACCATACTATGAAGTCAGATAACAAGGCGTCAACTATTGGAAAGTAATCCTCGACCTCTGGTTCTGTCTCTCATGACTTTTTGTTCATTTTCTCTTACACTTAACCAGTAACTGTAGATGTTTATATGCAAGTAACAAACTACTGTTGTCACTTAAATGAAATACAGGTATCCCTTACCTTCAAAAGTTTGTGGTATACCACTTTGCTTTTACCATACTAATGTAGGTTTTTGGTAAAAGCAAGTGGCATAAGGTGAATTTTCAGAAAGTATAGCAGGGTACCCTTCATTCCATGCCATTTCAGCTAAGAAAAAATTTCATAGAAATATTCTACTTTTAGATAATGGTGGAAACCTGGTTATTCCATTAATGTTTTAGCAGCACATACTCACATACTCCAAACCTTCTGTATCTATGATTGATAATAAAAATAATTGTTTAAATCCGATCTAGGCAGGAATTCCCCATACTCATGAAAGAATAGCATTTTATTTAATCATGTAAATTAATTTGCTTTAGAAACCAAGGATTTAAGAAATAATTTTTAAATTTTTTAAAGGATTCATGAACAGGCTATTACATAATATAGTCGTTCATGAGATTTTCCCTAAAAGCTAAAAATATTTCATGATGAAGTATTTCAAGAAGGTAGAAGACCATTCTACAATCCAAAAAAGGTGAAGGCAGACCTGAATTTCTTTACATAATTTAGGAACTTATCGAACATGAAAATAACCAAAGACCTCTGCTTCTGGGAAGATGGAGTAAACTTACTTCCACCTATTCCTGCTAAGTACAAAACTCCAAACATAATATATAAAACAATTGCAGGAAGACTCCAAATGGTGGAGGGAAGAATGGTGACCAGGTAGAGACCTCGGGGCCTGAGAAATGACACAGCAGTGACTTCCCTTGGTTTTATTTTGCCTTATATACCTCAGATTGGGTGCTAGAGAAACTGACAATCTAGAAGGGCTAACAGGTGCAGGAGTAGAAAAGCTTACTCTGTAGCCAGAGGACTAAGCAAGTTACAGCCTAGCAAGAGAGAAACATTTAAAAAATAACTTCTATTGCAGACAAACATCACAGGGAAAAAAAAAAAAAAAAAGAGCACTGCTTTCACAATAGGTTGGCTATAATGAGGTTTTTCTATGCTCATCATTTCCCAGTGGGAACAGTGTCAAAGGATGCCAGATAAAGCATAGGTTTAAATAAGATCGAGTCTTAGAAAAACAGTATGCAAAATGTCAAGGTTTTATAAAAAGTCACTCTTCATTCCTAGAACCAGGAAGATCTCAAACTGAATGAAAGAAAACATTCAGTGGATGCTAACAGCAAGATGACAGATGTTAGAATTATCTGACAAAGATTTTTTTTTATAGACAACCATTATAAAAATGCCTCAACAATTAGGAACATGCTTGAAACACATGAAAAATGATCTCAGCAAAAGAAATTCAAGGTAAATAGAAGAACCAGTGGATAGGGATGAGATCAGCAAAATGAAGGGGACAGAGGAAAAAAATAGTGAACTGGATGATGGAACAGTGGAAACTACTCAGTCTAAGTTATAGGGAGAAAATAGATGGAAAAAAATTAACAGTACCTCAGAGACCTGTGGGACAATAACTAAAGCTCTCACATTGTGTTATCAGAATTTTAGAAAAAGAAAGATGACACTGAGAGAGAACTCGAAGTAATGATGACTGAAAACTTCCAAAATGTGGCAGAAGATACAAACCTACAGATTGAAGAAGCTAAGCCAAATCCAAACAGGGTAAACCCAAACAAATCCATACGAAGATGCACTGTTGTTCAGAATCAAATCTCTGAAAGCTAAAAACAAAGTAAATATCTTGAAACAAAACCTTAGTGCATCGAATGATGGCAGATTTGTCATCAGAAGCCACATAGGACAGAAGGAAGTAGCACATTTTTTAAGAACTCAAAAGAATTTTAAGCCCAGAGTTCCTAGAACCAGCAAAAATGCCTTTCAGGAATGAATGGAAAGCAAGACATTATTACCAGGTAAAAAAAAAACCCTAAGAATTCACCAATAGCAGATCTATAGCTAAAGGAAGTTATAACAACAATCAGACAATAAAATAAAGAATTCTGAATGAAAGAACACTAGCAACCAAAAGGATGGATAATTATGATAAACTTGTAAAACTTTTGAGTCTTATAAATTATGTTTGACAATCTAAGCAAAACTATAATATCTGATGTGGTTCTCAGTATACATTTAGGAAATACCATAAACCAAACAGAGCAGAAAGGTATATGAGGCAAAAAAAAAAAAGATTGAACCAGTGGAATTAAACTAGGAATTAGACAGTCTCTATGACTATGGACTTGTCTGTTTCTTCTTCAGTTCAGTTGGTTCCAGTTATCAGTAACAGATAATTGGAAAAATCCAGCAACTTAGACTAGACAGTACAGTACTAAATAATATGTGTTAAAGGGGAAATCTCAAAATACATCGAACCATATGTAAATGAAAATAAAACATATCAAAATTTGTGGGAAGCAGGTAATGCAGAGGGAAATTTATAGCATTAAATACATACATTAGAAAGAGGAAAAGTCTCAGATTAGTAATTTTAGCTCCTACATCAAAACCCAAAGCAAGGCCTTAACCTGTAGCTCAAGTTGTGGGTTCAGTCCCTGGTCAGGGCACATACAAGAAGTAACCAATGGATGTATACGTGGGTAGAACAACAAATTAATGTTTCTCTCTCACAAATAAATAAAATAAAAATTAAAAAAAAAAAAAGCCACGACTACGTGGCCCAGTTGGTTGCACCAAAAGGTTGTAGGTTCAATTTCCAGTTGAGGTGCTTATGGAAGGCAGCCGATTAATGTTTCTCTCTCACATCAGTGTTTCTTTCCTTCTCCCGCCGCCACCCCCCCCCTTCCTTCCTCTCTATCTAAAGTCAATAAGGATATCCTCAGGTGAGGATTAAAAAGAATTAAAAAGGACCCAAATCAAATACAAGGAAGAAAATAATAAAGAGAAGATATTGGTGGAATTGAAAACAGGAAAACAATAAAGAAAATAAGAAAGGAAGCTAGTTCTTTTAAAGGTCAGTGAAATTGACAAATTTTTGTCAAAACTGACAGAGAAGGCACAAATTACCAGTATTAGGAACAAAACAAGATACAACTGCAGATCCTGCAGACATCAAAGGAGTAATATATAAGTATGATGCATTAGATGAAATAGACAAAAACCACAAACTACCACAACCCACCTAGTGTGAAATAGATTATTTGAGTAGCCCTAAAACTATCAAGGAAATTGAATTCATAATTTTAAATTTTCCCAAAAAGAAATCTTTACGACCAGATCATTTCATTGGAGAATTTTACCAAACATTTAAAGAAAGAATGAACACCAGTTTACACTGTCTTTTCCAGAAAGTAGAAGGATGGAACATTTCCTTATTTATTTTATGAAGCTAATAATTTACTCTGATACCAAAACTAAAAAAAAAATACAAAAAAACCCCAAAAAGTACAGACTATAGTCCTTATTAATAAACAAACAGAAATTCTCAACAAAATATCAGCAAATGGGATTTCAACAATGTATGTAATAATATACATGTACATAAAACATACGCATCATGGCCAAATGGAATTTGTTCCAGGCATGCAAGGCTGGTTCAGTTTTCAAAAGCCAGACAGTATAATCCACCGTTTTAATAGGG